GTACTACCGACGCAGGGCTTCGCCTAAGCACTACAACGGTATGATCGAGGTGGAATTTGGTGGCAGGGGGCACCGCACACGGCTAAGGAACGATCTCAAGGATCAACTTGTGTGTCTTGGGGTGTCCCCTGCCCCCGTATATAAAGGTTGGAGGGAGGGGGGCTGGCCGGCCAGAGAGAGGGAGGCGCAGGGGGAGTCCTACTCCTACCGGGAGTAGGACTCCCCCCTCCAATCCTATTCCAACTAGGACTCTCAAGGGGGAAAGGAGAGAGAGGGGGGCCGGCCCCTTCTCCTAGTCCTACTAGGACTTGGGGAAGGGGGGGCGCGCGGCCAGGCTGTGGGCTGCCCCTTTTCTCTTTTCCACTAAGGCCCAATAGGCCCATTAGTCTCCCGGGGGGTTCCGGTAACCCTCCAGGTGTTCCGGTAAAATCCCGATTTCACCCGGAACACTTCCTATGTCCAAACATAGGCTTCCAATATATCAATCTTTACGTCTCGACCATTTCGAGACTCCTCGTCATGTCCGTGATCTCATCCGGGACTCCGAACAACCTTCGGTACATCAAAATGCATAAACTCATAATAACTGTCATCGTAACGTTAAGCGTGCGGACCCTACGGTTCGAGAACAATGTAGACATGACCGAGACACGTCTCCGGTCAATAACCAATAGCGGGACCTGGATGCCCATATTGGCTCCTACATATTCTACGAAGATCTTTATCGGTCAGACCGCATAACAACATACGTTGTTCCCCTTGTCATCGGTATGTTACTTGCCCGAGATTCGATCGTCGGTATCCAATACCTAGTTCAATCTCGTTACCGGCAAGTCTCTTTACTCGTTCCGTAATACATCATCTCACAACTAACATATTAGTTGCAGTGCTTGCAAGGCTTATGTGATGTGCATTACCGAGAGGGCCCAGAGATACCTCTCCGACAATCGGAGTGACAAACCCTAATCTCGAAATACGCCAACCCAACATCTACCATTGGAGACACCTGTAGTACTCCTTTATAATCACCCAGTTACGTTGTGACGTTTGGTAGTACCCAAAGTGTTCCTCCGGTAAACGGAAGTTGCATAATCTCATAGTTATAGGAACATGTATAAGTCATGAAGAAAGCAATAGCAACATACTAAACGATCGGGTGCTAAGCTAATGGAATGGGTCATGTCAATCAGATCATTCTACTAATGATGTGACCTCGCTAATCAAATAACAACTCTTTGTTCATGGTTAGGAAACATAACCATCTTTGATTAACGAGCTAGTCAAGTAGAGGCATACTAGTGACACTCTGTTGGTCTATGTATTCACACATGTATTATGTTTCCGGTTAATACAATTCTAGCATGAATAATAAACATTTAGCATGATATAAGGAAATAAATAATAACTTTATTATTGCCTCTAGGGCATATTTCCTTCAGTAGAGCCTCCCTTATTTCTGGCATTTGAATCCGTATAGCCTTAATACTCTCAACATGACTCCCGACGAGTAGATGACAATGACTTGACAGTCAACTTCTTTAAGTTATCTTTGAGAATTTGCCATCGTTTAGCCGAATTAGCAAATATTCTATAGATGCGTTGTATAATTCCAAAGAAGTCTGTTGCTTTACGACAAGACTTCGCCATATCGCGTAGTGCCAGATTTAGACCATGACAACCACAAGCTGAATAAAATTCCCTTGGATATTTGTCCAGAAATTTCTTTTGTACCCGTTTCTTGTTTCTTTTCATATTTGACCCATTATCATAACCTTGTCCTCTCACATTGTCCACATCAAGGCTAAGATTATTCAACTCCTCTTCTAGAACATTAAACAAACCTTGCCATTCAACTCCTCTTCTAGAACATTAAACAAACCTTGCCCAGTGGTATCATTCACCTCCAAAAAGCCTAAGAAAGATTCTTCGATGCAAATAGAAGCAGAAGATGTATCTACATACCTAATTATCAAAGACATTTGTTCTTGGTGGCTTGCATCAGGAGTACAATCAAGAATAACTGACAAATATTTTGCTTCGTTTACCTTTTCAATGATTCTTGACCTGATGGCAGTAGCGAGCATGTTTATTAACTCATTCTGTATAGAAGGGCCAAGGTAGTGATCACGAAATTTTTCATTGGTGATGCGGTCAACATGCTCTTTGATAACTGGGTCAAATTCAGCCAACATTTCAATCAGTCCTAGGAAATTCCCATTGCTCTCTTGGTACAACTTGCTATTGCTGCCACGAAATGCTATATTATGTTTTGCAAGAAATTTTACAATAAACAAAATCCTGAGCAATGCTTTTCTCCAATGCTCCTTTTCCTTTTCAAGTTCTCACTGAGCAACTTTGTCAATTGTTTGATTCTTCTGCATCCTGAGACGGAAGTCATACCATGTGGTCATATTTGTGATATGCTCTCTACTTGATTCATGCTCTTTTAGTCTAGCCCCAAGATGAATCCAATCACTTAAACCCTCATTTGCTAGCTGTCCTCTCACATGCCCCCTTTTTAATAATTTGCAACAAAAACAAAATGCTTTATCGAGGCCGCTGTTGTACACAAGCCACTCTCTGTCAAACTTTTCCCCATTTGGGAGAATTCTACTAAATGATAATGCAGAAAACCTTCTAGAGAACTTGTCATAAGGACCATACTCAATATCTTCTCTTTTAGGACCCTTTTGCAGCAAGATATCAATCTTTTTCGGATCAAGTCCATCCCGATTTCTAGGAACAAATATATCAGGCTGAACGGAATTATTCATGTCATCCGAAATATTAGGATCATGATCTTCATCTAAAATATTGACATCACTACCTTCATCAATTTCTGTAGCGGCAACCTCAACCTCTTGCGCATTATCAGCAAGACCATGATCACCTTCATGAATTTCTGCAGTGACAACCTCAACCTCTACTGCATTATCATCATGACCATCATCAATATTACCATCTGGAGTATGATTTTCAGAATTATTTTAGGGTACTATCACAACATATTTATCAAGAGCACCCCTTTGAATTTCAGCATCTTCTTCTAATTTCTATTTCTTCTTACTCTTGAAGGCACCAGAATCATACTTTCTTCCAGAACTAGAATGCATGATTATTTCTGTTTCAATGAAATATATACTCTTTCAATTTATTTGAACTGATGAGCTCACATGAAATATAGGCTTGTGACATGTATAGGTAGTTCAAATAATTTACAATCAGATAGAACCTTGATTTTGTACTTGGACGATAGTACGAGCAACTACTGAAATTCTCGAATCTGTGACTACTTCTGAACTTGAACGACTGTACAAAAAATCGTTCCCAAACATATTAACACAACTCTGTAATTTGTATCAAAATTAGAAAAAAGGGGAGAGCGTAGGGAGCAGGGAGGGCACCACACCGGTTGGTCTTCTGTTCCTGTTGGGCGGCACCGCGGCAGTGTCGTCCGGCCGCCGGCGCGACGGCGTCCAGCGCTAGAAAGTAGTCCGCTTCTTGCCCGTCGCCTCACTGAACCTGCAAGGTTGCAACGCGATCGCCACCGAGCCGCCGATTGAGTCAGAAGCGATGGGGAGATGGAAAGCCTAGCGATCAGGCAGGGAATAGGAACCGTAAGTTACGGAACGTACTGCGCTGGGGTTGTCGTTTCATCTACGATCGATCAATCCACGCGACGGGAAAGCGTATTGCTCGATACTTGACCGGACAAGGCCCAAGAAGGCCTAAAACTGAATTTTTTCAGACTATACATATATGTATATGGACCCTAGTTGGGGGGCCCGAGGATTTTGGGGGCCCTGTGCGAGCGCACAGCTCGCACAGGCCCTTGGACGGCCCTGAATCTCATGCAACTTTCAGGCATGCTCCAGGCCAGGCTAAAAATAACGAGGAGGCAAACCAAACTAGCCCTATATGCCCACCCCTAGTTACTGATACCATGCTATTTCAAAACTTAATCAGGACAAGCACAAAATGCACAAAATGGAGAGAAAATATAGCTTGCCTTTTGGGAATCTCAGCGGGATGCATCATCTCTCTCCCTCTCTCGGCTGTCGCAGCAAGGAACCATTAGCCATTATTAGGATTTAGGTGGGGAAATCAAGGTAGCTAGGGTTTTCAGCTGGCTAGAAAAGAAAAGAAATTGCTAGGAGATCGAGAAGTAGCGGAAGGAGAAGGGGTGACCTGACCTGGAGAGCCTGTTTGGTAGTTTAAAGGAAAGGGAATGGGAGTTTTTAAGAGGGAGTTTGTTGGGGGATTAGGCTTGGGAAGTGGACTATTAGTCCCAGTCCCACGTTTGGCTACCGTTGGGAATTGCTTGTGGGAATGTAACAGGAAAAATAATTCCTCTGTTTAGTTCGCGAGTCAAAGTAATAGAAGATGGTGAGGACACGTTTGTTTACGTACAAAATTCAACCAGCCCTTGTTTGGCGCAACAAACAAACTGTTTTTTGTTTGCTAATTCCCATTCCCTGGCTGAATTACCAGCCTTCCCCTGGGAAGAGATTAGGGGGAGTTCGCCCCCTCAACTCCCCTTCCCTTTCCTTTCTCAATTCCCATACCCTCTAACCATACAAGTGATTTTTAGTCTCCCACCCTTTCAATTCCCATTCTTACTCCAACTTCCCCCGAACCAAACAGGTTGGGAATGGTCGTTGAGCATGGTGTTCGTGCCTATCTTTTTTCTTTTGAGCACACGTGCGTGCCTATCAATACAATATGCAATAAAAGGCCAGCCCAGTCTGATAACGAAAGCCCAGCTAAACAAAGGAAAGGCCCAGAACATGAAAAGGAGATCCATTCAAAGGCAGCCGCAACCCTAAGGTTAAACAGACCCCAATTTCCGTAATCTTCATCAGGTGAGGTCTATCGCCTGCATTTCTACTTAATCCAAGGATTGCACCTCGATCCCCGTAAAATCGCCAACAACCTACAGCCACAATCCAACGCGTCGAAATACAGAGCCGAGGCGGCCGAGATCGATCGATCGATCGACGATGGCACCGGAGCCGGCTGTGCTACCCGAAGATGCCCTGACGGAGGTACTCCGGCGCCTCGCGCCGCACAGCCTAGCCGTATCCCGGCTTGTCTGCACGGGCTGGCGCGATACTATCAACGCCCGCCTGCGCGGCCACCTGCTATCCCGCTCGGTGGACGGGATCTTCATCAACTTCACCCAGCTTAGATTTTCCGAGTTCTTCTCATGTCCCTCGACGGGCCCGGCGATCTGTGGAGGGCTCAACTTCTTGCCCTGCATGGGCGTCAGGGTCATGGACCACTGCAACGGGCTCTTGCTTTGCCGCGGTCTGGGGCACGAGTGCGACAAGGCACTGCCGAGCGATTATGTCGTCAACCCGGCCACACGTCGGTGGACGCGTTTGCCCCAATGCCCTCCGCCACACATGCCGGGATTCGACCAGAGTGCCTACCTCGCATTCGAGCCAGGCGTGTCGCCGCAGTACGAGGTCTTTCTGATCCCGCGAGTGCTGTGTGCCGGCGTGTCTGACGATGATGCATTGCTTGGATCAGAGTGGCCTCCCGCATCATACGTCATTGATGTGTTCTCGTCGGCGACTCAGTGGTGGGACACGACGACCTTCGTTCGGGAAGGGGAGGCCCCAGAGATCATTGGCTACATGGATTCACATTGGTGGTATAATCGATATCATTATCATGCCGTCTACTGGCAAAGCAATCTCTACATCCATTGCCAGCATGGCTATCTCATGAGGTACTACTACTTGCTCATCGGCCATTAATTATTCCTGTTTAGCAAGTTCTCATCCAGTTTGTGTGATTTGCAAACCAAAGTCAAATATTGTAATGTTCACTCAACACCAAATCTTCTGAGTTTTCCATAAGGTCATAGCGTAATGCTAAGAGTTCTAATGAATTAGGTCAATATATGGACAGAGTCGTAAGAATCTAGTACCTCCATTCCCAATAAATGAATGGCATACATAGGAAAGGGAATGTAGGAACAATTCTATGGGAATTGTCAAAAATAAGTACTGCAAAAACATATGCTGCTATGATTTAAACATGTTGTTATTAATCTGTTTTATCTGATTGTTTCTGTTTGCAGAATGTGTTTGTCAGATCACACATACAGAGTAATTAAACTACCAGGTGTCAGTCCATATTTACCTAGAGGATATCCTGACCACCATTTGGGTAAATCACTGAGAGGGGTGTATTGCGCAATATCTCATAAACGGAGTCCGCTTCTTCAGATTTGGCATCTCAATGAATCTTGCAGCCGAATAGAATGGGTGCTAAACCATGATACCACTCTTAAGACCTTTGAGCACGAGGACTATGCTCAACAACTGGGTAGACAATGGATCTTACAGGATGTTAACTACCATAAGTTGTTCTTTGAGCGTAATGGTAATATACATGAAATTCACAGAGTGGCGGTGGAAGAGAAATATGATTGGAACTCTAATGAGGATAACATTCTTGACATTGAATATGATGTTGAAGAGGGATATGAGGATACCATTCTTCACGTTCAAGAGGGATATGAGGATAATGGTCTTGACTTCGAAGATGATGCTGACGAGCATAACATTCTTGAATACGGATATTATGGAAATTATTATTTCCTCGGGTTTCATCCTTATAGAGAGATTGTCTTCTTAATTTCATCAGGGAGAAAAACAAGAGGACTGGCCTATGATTGGAACAGCTCGAAATTTCAGCACTTGGGAAATGTGGGTTCAGCATATTACGACCCCATCTGTGGACTACCATGCGGAGAGACACATGCAGCTTTCCCGTACACGCCTTGTTGGATAGGCGAGTTTCCAGGAAACGAAATAGAATCGCTATATAAGGATCAAGAGCTATCTAGGAAAAAGATGGAGTTGGAAGAGGAATCCAACCTTACATGCATGGACATATACGAGATGCGCAAGTTCCATGGGCATGCCAAGAGGATCAAGGACTCTGCTGCCAAGATTCGGCGCAGACGGCACTAGTAGGAACCCACCTTCACCGACATGAACTTTAAGGCAACCTAGTTCAGACCTTGGCAAGGGCAGCAAGAAGCTAGACTGTGGAAGTCAAAAGGTAATGCTAGGCAGGGCAAAAGAAATTACTACGGCTGGCTGTTTCTACAAAGAAAACTGTGGGCTGCAGATTGCCTGCAAAAACAAGGATGACCTCACGAGGAAAAATGCTGCTTCCGCGACCGAGTGCGAATTGTGAGACCTAAAACATCTGATGCAAAAAGCTCTAATGAAATAAAGAAGGTACTGCCTGCTATATTGCTTGATATATAAATACTGGTGGAATTAACCATCATGTAAGACACCAGTCAAGTATGGACCAGGTGCAGTCACCGATTAGGATAGCTAGCTGCTATGTGTAATCGTTTGTATCTCAAACAGTTATTTTAGAAGATCAAAGCAATACAAAACAAAGTCACGACACAAGCCTTCCGCAATCAATCGGCGTGCCATGTATCGCGTGAGTGCTTTGTGTGTTTCAAGCCATCCGTAGCTAGGCTGCTTGATCGATCTGATTACTAGCTTGTGTACTAGCGTATTTCCCGGAAAGAATCCGTTGTTGCTAGTTTGTCGTACATTCGTGCCGTCAGAAAGTACACGGCGGGTTGCAGCATCGAGCTATGCCAGAACATAGTACCACGCACAGCTTTTGTAAGAATTTACCCTTAAAAAAAGTACAGACTTTGTAAGAGTTTACAAACTGATCATATATTAGCCTTATCAAAATAAACATTGCAGAATAGTACAGTTAAAAAGGTTAGTTCATAATTGACATTCATGCTCCTGGTTAGGCCTAGTCCTGGTTTACTACTGACACTGCAACTTAATCAGTAGCGCAATCTGACCACCCAGCATGTCGCCACAACAGGTGAATTTGCTGACCTATTTTTTATTTTTTCTAACTCTCTTTTCTTCTATTTAAATCATCAATTGAAAAAGATGGAACCGAACTATTTGCATCTGTATATTGATTTTAGAAAATATAGTAAAGGTTCAGTTTAATATCTCGCACATAATGAACATATAAAAGAGCTATTTATGTAACCTGACATCCAATGCAGTTCAAAATATTTTTAAACATTTCCTGGTTCTTTTTCTCGGAATAATTTAATTTTCTATCACTTGGATGTATTTTCATCTTGCCGTGTACACTAACAGATTGGCGAAATTAGATTCAGACTTAAGATCGACCCTGTCAATCTGAGATCATGCGTGACTAGTAATAGCATCAGAGGATAATGTTGGTTCTCAAAACTCCCTAAGGGCATCTCGGACGGCAACCCGTAAATTTTCTCCCGCATCCGTCCATGCACAGCAGGGACCAGTACGCGGACATGGATGTAGGAGACCGCCATCCAACGCTGCCCACATACATTGCAAACAGTTTTTTAACAAACCCAATGAAATTCATGCAAACACGGCGGATTTTCATATCATTTCGAACATTTAGAACCAAAAAAAAACCGACCCTAAATTATCCTACGGTGGCGGCGCCCGGCGTCCAAGCCCATGTTGTCCTGCATCCACCCTCTCCATGAGCACCGGTGATAAGACACGTGAAGTGAAGGTGCGGTCTCTGGTGAGGAAGAGTAGAACACGGGAGACGGACCGGCCCACATGGGACACTAGGCCCTGCTGCCACCCGTGGCCAATTCATCCTCGGAGGAGTCCGCAACCTGCCCGTCACCGGTAGGCGTGAGGTCCACGATGGAAATGGTAGCGCCCGCGCTACCGTCATCCCACTGGGCGGCCTCATAGTTCGTCGGCGCACGTAGGAGGCGCAACTGTTGTTATTCTCCTCCGCGACCGCCTGATGAATCCACTTTCTTTTACACTTCTGTATCTCACTCTATATTGTTGCGCCAAGGCGACCACTTCCTGGCGAACGGCGGCTTGAGCACCAACGACATCAGAAATGGCATGCTCGCGCGCTCGCCGTAGATCTGGCCTTCAGCCACGGCCTCCTCACTCGCGCGCTTGTCATAGATCTGGCCTTCAGCCAGCCGGTGCTGCTCCAGGACGAGTGGGTTGTACCGTTGTTCCTTCTGCACCGGCTAGAACACCAAGAAAGGCGCTGGCGTAGCCTGCATGTCCGCCATGGCGGCGTTGTAGTGCGTATGCGCCTGCTCCATGGTGAAGCCGGCGTGCACAGGTGGCGTGGGAGCCGGGGCGGTGTCGTTGGAGCCTGTCTCCATCATGGTGTCATCCTCGTCATTGAAGACCTCAGGCGAGCTTGCCGGCAAGCCGGCCTTGATCCGCCTGGCATGGTGGCTCTGGCGGGCAGTGGAAAGGGTGGCCATTGCGCGCTTCATACCAGTGGAAAGCCTCTCCCATAGAGTTTCGCCGCCTGTAGTCATGGAGAAATGCCGGACATACAAACACAAAATTACTCAGTTTTATCTTTTGGAGCTTTAATTGGTTAATACCGTGCAAGTGCACCCATCATTTTTCTAGGCTTAACAATGCATGAATAAAATGGAGAGAAAAAAACTATAATTTTTTTTGAACTTGTGGCACACTTTATTCAAATCAAATAATTATTACATCACTAACAAGTTCAGCTAGCGTAACCTGTGGAGGATCACCCTCCCAAGATATGACAGAATTAGAATCATTGGAACTCCTAGCAAGGTTGTGTGCCACCTTGTTTCCTTCCCTTAGGCAATGAGAGTACAAGACTGAACCAATACTTTGAGCTCATTCAAAGTAGTAGAATAAGGACTCACGATATCAACCTCCCCCTTGCATGCCTGGATAATCTCAAGGTAATCAGATTGAAGATTACATTTAAGCATTCCCACTAGTCCGCTAGCTCCATACCATTCTTCAATGCCAAAGCTTCCGCTGCAGCGGCATCAAGCATACGTGTAAAGAGAGTTGTTGAGCCAGTAAGAGTCTCACTCTAGTGGTTTCAAAGAACCACAGCTGTGGCTCCGCTTCCTTCTTCCATGAACTATAATTGAGTTGGTACTAGTAGCAGCTAGCAAATGCAATTAGCCCTATCAATTTATCTAACCTACTAGTTGTACTAGGAGTTGAATGCACCGCAACCACTGCATATATAAGGACTCAAGGCCTACATACATGTGAGGGTCGCCATTCATCCTAAAGGAACCAATGTTCCCCTCTATATATACCCCGTGAGGTCAGATCAACATACGGTAATATTTTAGGCTTCATACATTTTCTACAATTCCGTTAGTGGATACATATATACAAGCTTGTTTGAAGCAAGAAGGAATATTAAAGTAGTTACTGCCTGTGATACGTATTGTAGGAAAATGGATCAAACATTTTATACAGGAAACCACTATTTTGGAGGATTCAGAACATGAGCTCAAGCATGGTATTAGACCTAGAAGGATTAGGCGCGCTTTGTTGTGCCGTTGATGTTGTTGGGTATCTTAAAAAAATACCCACTCTGTTCCAAAATACAAGGTGTATTACCTTTTGAAAAGTCAAACCCTTTTAAACTTTTATCAAATTTGTAGAAAAATATATCAAAATCCGTAATAACAAATTGATATAATTAGATTCATCATGAAATAAATTTCCATATTATTTTGTTTAATATTATGGATGTCGATATTTTTAGCTCTAAACTTGGTCAAAGTAAAAGGAATTTCACTTTCCAAAAACCAAATGCCCATTATATTTTCGAATTGATGGGATATTTAGTTCAGTGGGGCAGGGAGATGATGGAGTGCTTTTTTGATAACACGGTGATTTTGTGGGCCTTTCATGGTGTGATTATGTGTTATCCGCTAATAAATTCATATTTATGTAGGGAAATTTCTGCATCGGTAAATGCATGTACTATATTGGTGTTGCAGTATCCGATGGTGGCGTTTCTTTTTTCTAGGTGGTGGGAGGGTGCGCGAGATTGGTATTTTTCTATAGGCCGCTTGCTACTGATTGATTTAAGAATCATTGGCCCAATCAAAATAGTAAATTGAATGTAAAATTGAATACCTCAATCTAATGAAAGAGTCTCAAAATTAGGGAAAATAGTAAATTAAAATAATTAAATGGAGGAGCTCCTTGGGAAATTGTTGACCCGGTCAAAATCGAGTGACCCAATTCTAAATTGAAGACATCAATTAATTGTGGCGCCTTAAAAGTTAGGAAGCATAGTGTATATATATAAAAGAAATGAATGGAAGAGCTTTGAAAAATTGTTGACTGGCTCAAAATTGGGTGAACCAACTTCAATCGGAGATCTCAATTCATTTGGAGGCCTTAATATTTTGGGAGCTTAGTATTGTTGACCCGGTCAAAATCGAGTTGAACTAATTCTAAATTCAAGACATCAATTAATTGTGAGGCCTCGAAAATTAAGGAGCATATTGTGTAATATAACAAAATTGAATGGGAAAGCTTTGAGAAATTGTTTACCCGGTCAAAATCGGGTGGTCCAATGTCAGTTGGAGACATCAATTGAACATGGGCTCTTTAAAACTAGGGAGCTTAGTGTTATAGAGGATTCATAGGCAAGATCTCTCTTTCACATGAGATGAGACATATATTTTGCAGCAAAATTCATTGTTCGTAATGGGGCGTCAACAATTACTTTGTTAGTTCCTATGTTTCTGATTCCAGTAGAAATGAAGAAGATGTGGTCGGACACGATACTCCCCGCACTTATCATATTCTTGTGTTTTTTGATATTTTGGTTCCACGCGAGGTCTAACTTGGTGGTACAATTCCAGCGCCTCCTCCATGACCTCGGGCCGCGATAAAAGTTCCGATCGCCTCTTGCTCGATGGGTGCTCGTCAGTGAAGTAATCTATCAATGTTTGCCATGCTGAATCTACTTTTGTCTTTGCAAACTTGTCGAAGACCAGTGGGACTATGCGTGGATCGAAACCAGCGACGGCAAACAGCAGCAGCCCAATATAATCCGCCTCTATCTCGTGCCTACATTGATCATCTTGAAATTTGAAATACATACATATGCAGGTCTGATAAAT